CACTGGAGAGATTCAAGGAGAAATGGGCAGCCATCTGGGTGGGGTGGTGCGACTTGGTGTCCTGCACCAGCCGGGGGTTGGATCCGATGGCCTTCATGGCCCCTTCCAACTTTGCTCTTCTATGATTGTTTAATCGAAAAGAAGGAGGGAAATCTTACAATCGAATATAGAATTAAGTTGGAACAGAGAAGTTTGTCAAACTCGAATTTTACTAACCTGGACATCCCTGTGGCTGCGCTCGGCAGGTCCCAGGGCTGGGGGTCATGGCACTGCTGAAGGGCTTGCCAGCCGTGGGGGCCGAGGGACCCTGTTGGAAGAACGGGGGAGCCACAGGCGCTTGCCGCAGCCGTGCTGCTCACGTGTACTGGGGCCTTCCGACACCCCCCCCCCCAGCTTCTCAGCTGGTGCTCCAGCAAAGACTGCCTCCCATTTGGAAAACAGCGGGGGGGGGGGGCTGGGCAAACCGCTCAGTGGAGCTTGTGGCAGCCCTCTTGACGAGCCACACGAGGCAGGGGACGGATCCTGACGGGTTCCTTCAGGAAGGACGATCGCGGCACCCCCGTGCCCTAGTGGGGCCGAGCGGCGTAATGCGATCACGCCATGAGCCGCCCTCTTATCGCCTTTGCGAAGGTCCGTGCTGGAAAGGTCGCGCTGAGTTGTAATCCTTCCGTGAAGTGTCAGTCGGTTTTGTCCAACTTTTTAACAAAGAAACAAAAAGCTCTTTCCATGTCAACCTATTACAGCATCACCGGGCTTGAGCGAGGGCCGTGTGCACGTGTGCAGCCCGATCTATAAAGCGCTTTGTTTAGTATGCGCGGCGACAAGTTCCCGGCCCGGAGGATGCCTGTAATCCCAAGATAAGGAAACACCTCCTCTAATAAGCAGAAGGGAGCGATAAACCGGACGGGGAGCGCAGCTCTGCAGCCGAGGCCTGGAATGGCTCCGGAGCGCTGGGCTTGGCCACCAGACAGCGAGTGGCCACGGGGTCAGTGGCAAGGGGCAGCCCTCGGCATCACCCCTCCGCTTCGAGGCGGCCCAGTCTGGTCCTCCCTCTCGAGAAGGCCTTTCCGCACGCCACCGGCGGATCTCGCTCCCACACACGCCGGGCTTGCCCTGGGAGTCACATGCCCCAGGCCCAGTCTGGCTCCTGCACCCTGTGGCCTGAGGAGGGAGGCCGTGGCCACCCCTTGCTCGCTTGCCAGAACGAAGGGGCAGGTGTCGAGGCTCCATCAGCTCTGGGGGACTCCCAACAGCAAAGAGGCGGGGCCCAAACCCAGCTGTTTGAGCCGCAAGCGCTTCCTGCCAGCCACTCGACCTCGGCCCGTCACGCCAGCCACTTGGAAGGAGATGCACCTGCACGAAAGCTGAAGCCCCCCCAGTGGGGACCGGCACGTGGTGTGGCCTTCTGGACTCCTCTGGAGGACCAGGACAGGGCCCTGGACATGCCTCATTTCACCTGCAGGAGGGTCTCCATCCTGGATAGGAAGGGTGTAGAAAGGCAGAACGCCACCCGGCTATTTCTGCCCTGGTGGTAGATCCATCTGTTCTGCCTCTCCCAGGAACTCCGGGAAAAGCAGCCGCAGGCCTTCCTTGCGGGCCCCTTCAGGGCCGCCTGCTTCGGATTGCCATGCCTGGTGACGCGTCCTTCTCTGTGCTCTGGATCCCTCTTGGCCCAGTCCGGGAGCACAGGGTCCCTCCGCCTTGCATCCTCCGTTCCTGCTTCCGGAGGGCGCAGCTCGGAGAAGGGGCAACAGAGGGGCAGCTTGGAAGGACCGGCACTTGTACGCAAGGCAAGGCGAGGTCCTGGTTCCCGGGGCAATCCGTGCAGACAAACTGCCCCCATGAACTGGATGACTGCAGCTTCATTCTGTACAGAAGGAAGTGGTGCAGATTCGAGAGAGCGCCGCCGCTCACGGATCCCTGCAAGGAGCGCCTTCTCGCATTTAATTGAGGGAAGTGTATAGCTGCACCAGGTGGCGCTGAGGAAGCCGTCCCACAGGGTGTCCGCTCTGCTCAGGACCCTGTGGCGGGTGCTCAGGGACCCAGAGGGCTGCAGCTCCTCCTGGGTCACTCCTCCCACTTCTGATCGGAGAGCTGCACCTGGCCTGCGGTGGCCCTCATCCTTCCAGCCATGGAAATGCGGATTCCATGGCCAGGCCTGCAGAGCTCCCCCCCGCCCGCCCAGAAGGGCGGCCCCCGCTTGGGCAGCTCTTTCCAAGGCGCCTTCTTCGCCCTTGGGATGACGCCACCAGTGAGGCAATCAAGCTGCAAGGAGGCAATCAGGCTTGGCGCCGTTGCTCACGGAAGCATCGCCAGAGGACTGCCGAGGAAAACGGTGTGCGGCGCCTGTGCCTCCTGCAGGGAAGGTGTCCACAGATGCTGCCAGAGAAGGCCACCCGGACAGTGCACCACCGTGCCCAGGCGGTGCGGGAAGCTGCAGCTCAGCTGTGAATGGGCTTGATGCAGGCTCAGCAGATGGACTGGGCTGGGGGGGGGGAGCTGCCGCGCCACCCCTGCAAAGGGGCTGACGGCGCGCATTGGCTGCCCCTCCTCGGAGCATCCCCACCAAGCTGGAGGGGGGGCCGTTTCGGTTTCCCCCACCAGGAGGACGTTCGCCCCACCTCTGCAGGGGTCTAAACGGCCACCCGCCCCTGCTCCCGGCCCCGTCGTCGTTCCCCTGCAGCCGAGAAACTGGGAGAAGACAGGCCTGGAAGTGTAGCAGTAAAGGAGCCAGGGTGGCGTCGTGGTGAAGAGCACGGGACCAGGACTCAGGCGGCCCGGGTTCGAGTCCCTCCGAGCCATGAGCCCCCTGGGTGACTCTGGGCCAGTCGCAGCCTCTCAGCCCAACCTACCCCACAGGGTTGTTGTTGTGGGGATGAGAGTGAGAGAAGCAGGAGAAGAACAGTGTGAGCCACCTTGGATTCTTTAAAAAAAGGAATATAGCTCTTATCAATCAAAAAATAAACAAACTAGAAGAATTCACCCAGTGTAAGGACATTTCCCTGGAGACCAAGGCCGAGATTCTCCACATTGTGTTCCTGATCGTGACGTAGGGGAGTGAAAGCCGGACCGTTACGGAAGTTGACAGGGCAACGGTGGTGGCCTTCAAAGCACAGTGCTGGATGAGAGCTTTGCAAATATGCTGCACCAAACCAACCACAGCAAGTGGCCCGAGCCAGAAACAGAGAAACAGCGCAAGTCAGGAGGGACCTCCCGGGCCATCTAGTCTGACCCCCAGCTCCAGCCAGCTCCGCTCACGACATGCCCACCATGTGCACATCCAGCCTAGCCTTGAACACCCTCACGGATGGGGCCTCAACCTCCTCCCGTGGAAGCCCATTCCACACCCTCGGGGTCCTGACTGTCAGGAAGTGCTTCCTGGCATCCAAACAAAACCTTGGCTCCCTGAGCTTTGCTCTGTTGCAGGGTGTCCTGCCTCCTCTGCAGGGGAGAACAGGTCTCTCCCCACCTCCGTGTGATGCCCCCTCACATGCCTGTATGCCTAGAACTTGCCCTGGAAGCAAAAAGGGCACAACCTGGGCACATCGTGGGGAAGCCCGGCTTCCTGGAGGAGCCAAGCCGGGTGGGAGACCCCAGGGGCAGAGGCGGAGGAGGGAGGCTGCCGAGGTGCCAAGGAAGGCTGGGGGCCTGCGAAGGACGGGCATTTGGATGAGGCAGGGCAGTCTTGCAGGGCTGTTCTAGCCGTCACGGGGAGAATGTCTGGAGCTCGCAAAGGCACTGCTGCGGTTACCTGTGATTGCAGCAAAGTGAGACCATCGGTGATACCTTTGCAGAACCCTGCCCCTGCCTTGGGGTAAAGGGTTGGCGGGTCCTAACCCATTGCTCTGCAGTGCCAGGGCCCTTCGGCTGGCCTTTAGTTGCCTGCCCCCCTGCTGGGTTGCCCAGGTTCGAGGGGAGGGGAGGGGAGGGGAGCCCGTCTTGCAAACCCGGCAGCTTCCCAAGCGGCCCCCTCCGCACGGCAGCTTCCTTCCTTCCATCACGCCCGTAATAAAACCCCCGCTGGAGGCACACGGGAGCCGGGAGCCGCCCTGGGATGGGATGCGCCACTGCTCCAGATGGCTCCCAGCCGCTCTCTCCCGGCAGCGCCTGCCTCCTGCGGAGCGCAATTAGGGGAAGCTATGGAATACCCGCGGCTTTGGCGAATGAGCAGCCGAATGGGAGACCCACAACCTGTGTGTGCCGAATGCAGCCGTGCAATGTCGATGGACGCGAATGGGAAGCCGGCTTGGGGGAGAGACGGGCCTTCTGCTGCTCCTGGTCATGGAGGCAACCGGGGACGGGGGCGGGGGGTGGATCCGAAGGCCTTGGGGGCAGGCACAGACACGCCTGCCTGGCATCTCTCCAGACACCTGCCAGATTCTCTGAGCCTCCTTCGGTCTGCCTCTGTCCCGTTCTGGTTTGGGCCCCTGGCCTGCTGCAGAGCCTGCCAGCTCCGGCTGTGCTTGGGTTCGGAAGGGTGTCTGGGGGCCTCGGAGCTCAAGGAACGCCCTGCCTGGGGGTCACGTATTTATTTATTTCTTATGAAAAGCTTTTCTACCGTGGCTGATGTCCTTGGGCAAGTCCCTGTCCCATCTCCCGGGAAGTCAGAGTTTGGTAGCCAGCCACAACCGTGGGGGGAGCAGCCGTGGGGCGCGGTGGCTTTGGCAGGGGTTGTCCTGGGCAGCCCAGCGAGTCCCACAAGCCACCACCACCAACGCTGCTGCTATCCTGGAAGGAGGAAATGGGACCACCCCACTTCCAGGTCAGGCACTCCAAGCTGTAAAGAGAAGGGCCCAAACGCTTTTTATGAGTGAACAAACGCACAGCTCTTTGCTTCCCTTCGCAGAAATGAATGAACCCTCTTTGGCGAGGCCCTGCCAGCGACTGCCCGGAGTCTCCCATGCACGCGGTTTTTGCTTCCCGAGGCCCCTAGCTCATCGTCCTCTTGGGCGGCGGTGACGTCCGCCACGCCTGACCTCCTCACTGCTCTTCCCCCGCAGCCTCCCCGTCGATCAAGCTCTTGGTGGAAGACCCCATCGTCGTGAACCCCGGAGAGGCCATCACCTTGGCGTGCGTCACCACGGGGGGCGAGCCGCTGCCCACGCTCACCTGGGTGCGGGCGGTGGGCGCCCTGCCGGAGAAGACCGTCCTGAAGGGCGGGACGCTCACCATTCCCGCCATCACCTCGGACGATGCCGGCACCTACAGCTGCATCGCCAACAACAACGTGGGGAACCCGGCCAAGAAGTCCACCAACATCATCGTTCGAGGTAAGCGCGGCCCGGGGCTTGGCAGCGGGCCGTGCCGCTCGCCCCTGGTGCGGTGACAGCGGTGGTCACGCGCCTGCAGGCCTGAGGTGTTGCTCTGTTTCATTACTAGCCGCTTTTCTGTCCCGTCCCCTGCAAAGGTCTCAGGACAGCTGACAATACACAAGTAGAATGAAGCTAAGAAAGGAGTTTCTTGTGTGCATGCCAGGAGGACAGGGAGATGCAGGAGAGTGGCTTCAGGTCGGCTTTGGCTGGAAGTGTCCCAATTCCAGAATTCTGGAATTTTGCTTCCAGAAATGGATGCAGACACGAACGTGGGCTTGACGGAAACCTGCATGGCAAGTGAGGGGGCAGAAAAGGTGCATTTGAAAATCAGTTTGAAAAACGGGTGCTTTTGAAAAGGTTGCTTAAACAGTTTAATCCATGGCAGGGCCATGTGCATTTTTCGGCGGTCGGTAGCCATTTTGTGGTGTCAGAAAATTTGAGATGCTCTTCCTTCAACTCACTGATCGTTTTAGTGATGAGTGGGAGCAAATGGTGGGGGGAGGTTTTCACATTTGTAGAAGAGAGAACTTTGGGTAGGAGGGCAAATGCTCTAGAGACAGAGCCAAAATTCAAAATGGTCTTGTCACGTTAGAAAACTGGGCCGGCCGATTGCCTGATTCCAGGAGGCGAGCAGGAGCGGGATCCACAGGGGGGTCCAGTTTCTGTTGTGAATGTTTGGGAGAGATGGACCCATAAGAATGGAAGTTCTGCTATCTTTTAGAAAAGGGGCGCGTAGGGGAGTGCCGTCAGCTCCCAGCTACCCGAAATGCGATAATCTTGGAGTGGGACGTACACCCAGAGGGGTGTTTCAGTTCATGGCCATTGTTTCATAGGAACTTCCCGTCCATGGCAGGAGGCAAAGCAATAAAGTTTCATTACAACTTTTATACAACCGAGTTTTATTGCCACTCTCTTCCCAGACGGTCAGGTCACCGTGCCCCTGCGGCTCACGGTGGCCCTCGTCACCAACCAAGACAACGCGCAAAATGACAACCTTTTATTGAGACCCGGGTGGGCCATTTAGGGGTGCGTGAAAAATCCAACGGGGTGAGAAGCTGGGGTGGGGGGGCGGTCTTAACTGTATCCTGTCAGCAGGTCAGCAATGTGAGTTGAGCCAGAATTCAAACGTCAGCATTTTTTAAAAAACAGGGAAATTTGCATAAAATTCGGGCCTCCCTTCGAAAAGGCTTGAATAGCACCCAAATCCGAAGTTAGCGATCAGCCCAGAAGGTGCATGAGCGTCTGCGGTGGAAGGAAGGGCTTCCAAGTGTCCCATGTTCAGTGTTCAGTGTTCCAACAGCAACAGCTGGCTTGGATCTAAGGAGTCGGTTCCGGGTTGTGGAAACCACGATCTGCATGTTGCATTTCTGCAAACTCTGCCAGAGGCATGTAGTTTTCCACCCCAAACGCTCGCCACTATTTTGAGCAGTTCTGCAGAAACGGGCGCTCCCCGACTGTTGGTCGATGGGTGGGGAAAGTGTGCGAAGTCCAAGGGGTTCAGTTGGACGTGGGCTTTCTGGTGTTGCACCTCCGAGGCAAGAGAGACGACCAGGAGGTTCCAGCTGGGCTCAGCTTGGCCCTTGGGCTGACGCGAGGCCAACGCACGGGTGGCCCGTGCTTGGAAAGGAGCGGGCACCACCGACAGCCTCCCACGGGGCAGGGGGAGGGGGGCGGAGCCTATTCATCCTCCGGCCCTGCAGAGCAGTCGAGGGATGGAAGGGTCCACCGGTTTCCGGCCCCTTGCCCTCCTCACGCTGCTCTAGAGCGAATGCACTTCTGCGAAGCCGCCAACGGGGCTGGTGGCCAGAAGCCCTCGGATCTTCCGTTTCTTCAGACTTTTCAACTGGAAGGGGGGGTGGGGGGCTGCGATATGAAGAGTCCGGCCTGTGGGAGAGGGTGGCATCCTCTTCCTGTGCCTCTTCGCCGCCAGGGGCTCCTCCAAGAATGGGGCGCTCCAGGACCAGGAACGTGGATTCGGGCACGGAGGCCCTTGCTGTGCTGCCGTCCACGTGGTTGCAGCAGAGCAGCCGGACCGACAAGAACTGCGCATGCAGCCGATGCGCACTGAGCACGCAGTCGTCCTGCGCCAGGTGCTCCCAAGCCCATCCCTTCGTGCCCTTGCGAACAGGCCTGCGGGTGCACAACCACAAGGCCCATCCCTGAGCGAGCTTGCAGGGGTGCTGCTTGCTGTGCATGAGCCGAATGTCCAGCTGCAAAGCCGATGATGCACTTGAAATGTGGGGAGCGGCATGCATGCAAAAACCGCTTGCAAACGAAACGAAATGAGCTGTTGCATATTCAGGGATTGTGGGAATGCAAGCCGGACTAGCTGGAACTCTCTAGACAAGTTCCATGAAAGCCATCGCACTTCTCCCGGAAAATAGTGCTGATGTACACTTTCTCCTCGGATTCTTGTGCATCCCATATTTTGGGGTTCTTCAGTATCCCCAGTGTGAAGCTCCATCTTTTAGCACTGGGAACTGGATGTCCATCCAGTCCTCTTCTCAGCTCTTCTTCCTCTTCCTCTTCTTTGGCTGCGACTTCTGCTTCTGCTTCAGCACAGAGCATTTCAGAAGAGCGAAGGGAAATGTCTGTCAGAGATAACACCGAGATAAACCCTGCCTCCCCTTGGATGCAGATTTCATGAGTCATGGCATAATAAACTAGCCCTCCTGCATATTTATTCATGGCAATTCAAGCCTGGAAGCCTCATGAGACTGAACAAAATATAATTAAAATTCTATCTCAATTTTTTTCCAAACATAAAAAAAGAAAAGAAAAGCCTGCATTGCCTAATGAATTCCTCAAATGATGAGAAGCTGGGAAAAGGAAATGAAAATGCCATGGAACTCGGGTAAACTCAGCTGCATCCCTGAAGCCTCAAAGGTCAGCACAAGGAAAGACTTGTGACCACGGACATCTTCCTTGGCTTAATAATCAAACTGTTTTTTGCAAGCGTGCAGGTTTTCAGTATTGAAAGCAGATGCATGTGCTTTGGATTTCCAAGTGAAAACGCGCATCTGTGTGTGTGAGCATCAGGTGCCAAGTGGCACAATACTCTGGGCTGTGTGCCCGACTCCGGTTCGGACTCCTCAGCCGCTCCCTTCTGTCCTCCTGCCCTTCCTTCTCCACTCCTCGGGGGCCAAACGGGCCTTTGGGGGCAGCCCTCCGTCTGCCCTCTGCCCTGTCGGTGAGCACAGGGAGTTTCCCCTGCGAACAGCCATGCGGTGGAGAGGCATGGACAGTCTCCCAGGGGGACCCCCAGCACCCCCACCCAGGAGCCTCCCTGGCCCTGCCTTTCTCTCCCGGCTGCTCCTGCGTGAGGAAGAGGAGGGGCCCCTCCCTGGGGTGCCTCACACGGAGCAGCCCTTCCTTCCATCTCTGTGGGCCCAGGACCGTGGGCACAGGCAGGCAGGGGACTCTGCCCTTTCGGCCCCTTGCAGGACCCCCCGGACGGGTGCCCAGGACCACCCTGGGGCGTGCCCTGAGATTTGCAGCCCCAGGGGCAGCTCAGCACCATCATGGCTTGGCAGGGCTCGAGGAGCAGAGCCTTCTGGAGGTGGGTGGAGCGCTGTTCTCCCCTGCGGAGGAGGGCAGGATGCGTTCCAGGGGAGCCACGCTCAGGGAACCCAGGTTCCGTTTGGATGCCGGGAAGCACTTGGGCCCATGCCAGGCCACATGGCCACCCTGCCCAGCGCCCCCAGGGCTGCCCGAAGAAGGGGCCAGCTCCCCTTGGCTGTGGCCTCCTTGCCATGCACCGTTCGTCCGGGCTCTTTGGGTAGGCAAAGCCAAACACATAGAAACATAGAGAGTGAGCCAGAAGGGGCCTCCCCGGCCATCTAGTCTGACCCCCGGCTCCAGCTGACTGCTTGCAACATGCCTTCCATGCGCATGTCCAGCCTGTCCTTGAAGACCCTCACCAATGGGGCCTCAACAACCTCTCGTGGAAGCCCATTCCACACCCTCGGGGTCCCAACTGTCAGGAAGTGCTTCCTGGCTCCAAATGGAACCTGGGTTCCCTGAGCTTTGCTCCACTGGCACGCATCCTGCCCTCCACTGCAGGGGGAAAGGGTCATGACCCACCTCTTCATTCCTCCCCCCCTCCCCCCCGGACCTGCCTGTCGCCAACAGGGGACAAACCTGCCCTTTCAGTGTGTCGCACGTTTAGAAGCGATCCAGAGCTTCTGTGCACGTCCTGAGAATATTGGCTTGTGCAGGCCGGGACTTGCTGATGCGTGAAGGCAAATGTATTGATATTGGTCAAAGCTAAAGCTGCAGATTGGCTTTTCATCCTGCGGATGATCATGGGGGATAAAACGGTTTTGACTGTTCTTCAAAGCGATCCTTTTCCCTGATCCAGAACTGCTCCAGGGCACCCACTGTCCTGCAGCCGGGTCTGCAAACAGAAAGCTGCTTCCTTCAAAATGGAAGGCAACCAGCAGCTCCTCTGAGGCCCGGGGCAGGCTTTTCCGGAGAGTGGGAGAGCGGTGGCTAGAAAAAGGCCGGTAGGAGCTCACAGTGGCTGATTTGTATGCAGAGGCATCCTGAGCAGGGGATCTCATTGTGCCGGAGAGCATCAGAGGGAGCCACGCAGGACCTGGATTCCCTGAGCTGAGCTCAGGGACGGCATCCACCCTCGGCGTGGGGAGTTGGAGCCTGGCCTTCCCTGCCAGCTCAATGCATGTGCTCTCAGGAAGACAACCCTGGAGAGAGCCTGGAGAAGAGAAGGCTGGGGGGGGGGGCATGGTCTCCCTCTAGAAGGACCTCAAGGGCTGCCACAAAGAGGAAGGTCAAGGTCTCGTCTTGCTGGTGCCAGAGTGCAGGACAGGGAATAATCCATTCAAGCTGCAACAACCCAGATCCAGGCTGGACATCAGGAGAAGCTTCCTCACTGTTGGAGCAAAACGGCAGTGGGACCAGCTGCCCGGAGAGGTGGGGGGCTCTCCCACACTGGAGAC